CTCCTCCTCCTCCTCCTCGTCCTCCTCCTCTTCTTCTTCCTCTTCCCCATCCTCTTTCTCCTCCTCCTCCTCGTCTTCCTCCTTCTCCTCCTCCTCGTCGTCGTCCTCCTCCTCCTCCCCCTCCTCCTCTTCTTCTACCTCGTTGGCCTCCTCGTCGTCGTCGTTGTCGTCCTCCTCCTCCTCCTCCTCTTCTTGGAACAGATTTTAAGTCTATCGTGTTTAACATTTTCACCAAGTGAGCTTGATTTCAAACTAAATAGACTCAATCATGCAAAACACTTCTCACCTATTCGAGTGATGGTCTTTCACTTTGTATGATAACTTTTTTCAAGAGGGGTTTCCTGCTTATATGCTTTCAATTGTTCTCCCATTCCAACGTAGCTACCCGGCAATGCGACAGGCATGACAACCGGTCCACCATAGGTTGACCCATCCCAGTCCTCTCATACTTTGACTCTGGGAGCGATACTCACGATCAACTGGTTCTCAAAATTCAGTCAGCAATTACAAGCTGGTAAATTTGAGCCACAAGCGTGGCCCTATCAAGTAAAATTAATACCATAGATTCAAAAGCATTCAAAGCTTCTCTTTCCCATCCTCCTTCTCCTCCTCCTCCTCCTCTTCTTCCTCATCATCATTGTCGTCCTCGGCTTCCTCCTCCTCCTCCTCCTCCTACTTTCCCCTCCCCTCCCCCAATTTTCTTCTTTTTCAACCAGTTGATCAATCAATGAATCAATGAATCAATGAATCAATCAATCAATCAATCAATCAACCAATTAATCAATCAATCTATCAATCAGATGAAATGATGATCCCATCGAATCGATTGATTTGATAGGATCTTGATATGCGATCCCATCGAATCAATTGATTTGATAGGAACTTGATATCAGGATCCTAATGAATCAATCGATTTGATGGGATTGTCATTTCATTTGATTGGCAGATTGATTGATTAATTGATTGATTAATTGATTGATTCTCAAGATCCTATCGAATCAATCGATTCGATGGGATCGTCATTTCATTTGATTGATAGATTGATTGATTGATTGGTTGATTAGGATGGTGGAGGTCGAGATGACCGGCAGTGATGGTGGAGGTTCGACCCGCTCCCCATCGTTATCCTCCTCCTCCTCTTCTTCCTCCCCAAAATCCTCCTCCCCTCTTCCCCCTCCTCCTCCAGAGGTTCCTCGTCACCGCCATCCCCTACCTCGTCCTTCTGGGCGTTGTGCCCATCTTCCTCCTCCTCCTTTTCTTATTCTTCGTCAACCTCCTCCTCCTCCACGTTGCCCTCGTCATCTTCGCCCATCGCTGCTGCCCAACGCTTATCCTCCCCCCTCCTCCTCCCCCTCCTCCTCCTCCTCCTCCTCCTCCTCCTCTTCATCATCCCTTTCCTCTTATGCCACGTCCTCCCTCTCCGACGCAGCCACGTCGCCATCCCCACGTTCTCGGCATAGTTGTCGACGTCCAAATTTCCCCTCCCCCTCTGTTTTTTTTCCCCCGCACTCAATCACTCACTCACTCAATCAATCAACCAATCAATACAATCAATCAATCATTCAATCGGGATCCCGTCGAGTCGATTGATTCGATAGGATCTTGATCAAGATCCTATCGAATCAATCGATTCGACAGGATCCCGATTGATTGATTGAGTGATTGATTGATTGATTGAGTGAGTGAGTGAGTGAGTGAGTGAGTGAGTGAGTGAGTGAGTGAGTGAGTGAGTGAGTGCAAGGGGAAATCAATCAATCAATCAATCAATCAGGATCTTGCCGAATCGATAGGATCCCCACCACCACACCCCACACACTGTGCCTGATGTTTTTTTTCGTTACCACCACACCCCACACACTGTCCCTGATGTTTTTTTTCGTTTTCTTTTTTGGCAAAAAAGCCGTTGTCCGGGATCCCAGACAACTCCCCCCCGACGGTCTCTCGGAGACGTCCGAGGGAGACGTCTCCCCGTCGGACAGCTGGCAGCCTAACTTTTATTTCATTTTGCAACGTATATTCCGATGTTCTAGCGGAAGATTCATGCTCATATCGCACATTTGGTGAGTAGTGGAGCCAGGCCGTTTTGATTTGGGCCTTGCTCCGGAAAAAGAAGTAAAAAAAAGACAAAGCAAAAACGGTGGCGTATCTTCCGACGCTCTAGCGGAAGATTCATTCTCGAAAATGTGTAAAACGAGAGTGAATATTCCGCTAGAACATGGAAAGATACACCGTCATAATTTTTGTCTTTCGTGCATGTCAAGAATAGTGGAGAGAGGCCCTTTGCCGGAGGTCTCTCTCTCTCTCTCTCTCACACACACACACACACACACACACACACACACATACACACATACACACACACACACACACACACACGCACACGCACACACAACACACACACACACAGACACACGCAGACACATCGAAGTATGGCAAAATGTTTGTGTGTGTCAGAGAGATTGCGGCCAAGGTTCTGCCATTGCCACTGGCACGAACCGAGACAAGCGTGCGCCGTGTAGATATGGCGAGCCTACCTCAAAACAAAGGAAAAAGAAACGGGAATTAGAAGAAAAAAAGTTGTGCACGCGATCAAGACGCATGTGCGATCTGCGGAAGAGGTAGGTTGTCTCTCTCTCTCTCCCTCTCTCTCTCTCTCTCTCTCTCTCTCTCTCTCTCTCTCTCTCTCTCTCTCTCTCTCTCTCTCTCTTTGTCGATCTATCTGTCTCTCTATTTGTCTTCCCACCTCTTCACCTCCCTGCTCCCTTGTTTCCTCCCCTCTTCCCTCCATCCCTTCTTCATCCTCCTCCTCTCTGTCTTCTCTCTCTCTCTCTCTCTCTCTCTCTCTCTCTCTCTCTCTCTCTCGCCGCACCTGCTCCCTCGCCGCCCCCGCCCCCGCCCCCGCTGCTGCTCCGTCTGTCCGCCATATATTATGTGCATGAGGGAGTATGTAACAGCTTGAGCGCAGGCAGCAAACTTCGTAAAGTTGAGTGCTTCTCGAACTCAACCTCAGCGCATGGACACGAGAGAGAGAGAGAGAGAGAGAGAGAGAGAGAGAGAGAGAGAGAGAGAGAGAG